TTTTCTTTCATGATGTTCTTTTATCATGTTATTTTATTTTACCGTATGCTTATGTCTAATTTACACTGCCAATTACTTTTACGTATTTCCGGTATTCCGTACGTAAATATCGGCTACATATAAACACGTCCCAATGTAAAATTTTCATTGTACCTGAAGAAGGCTGGTTTGGCCAGCCGAAATATAGTACACCTTCAAAAAATCATCCTACGTTGTGTCGGTTTTTGCTTTTGTATTCTTCCTTTAGGTGCAACCGCGCATTAAGTTGTCCCGGGTTGCAGGGTTACCCTACCTGTGAAATTTTGCTTATAAACCCGGGCTATCTTTTGACCTCCAGCTAGGATTAACCCGCTTGCTAGGGTAACCCTCCCTCCTTGTAAACAGGCCCTAAATGTCACGAATTGCACGAGGATCTTACCAAGCCGCAGTGACAGTCGGACAGATCCCAAAACCTTCACGAATTGGAAGTCGAGAACTTCTAGCGAGGCGGTTGCGACTAGCCGATCGGAATACTTCAAAGAGAAATGTATTACGAAGAACCTTATCTGCTGTTTATCCTGGTCTTCAAGACCAGGATAAACAGTACAAAACATATGCCATTTGATTGGCATTTCGGCTGACTTATTTCCAGAAATTCCCAAATTTGACAACCCCGGACGTCCGCTTAAACGAATACGATAGAACGGGACGACATAATTATTATCACTGAGACAATTCCAAATTCATAGCAGACTTAGGTGTATCGTGCAATTTGGAGGACCCAGATTTTAATAGGTATCAAAGAAGTAGGCAATGGAATGGTTTGTTTGTCTGAGTCACACCGGGGATTAAATTTTCTTGACGTCATTTCTGCGCGACGTTATTTATCAACAGACACCGTTGCTGTTTGTTACATATTTCACTGAAAAGCCCCTGGGGGACGTGGAATAAACGTATGTATGTATGTATGTATGTGTATGTAGTCGCATAAGCATCACAACGAACAAGTTAAGATTTCCTTGTTTTGTACCGCGGACATTTGATTGGCTGGATATGAAAATGTTGGAACCTATTGTTTCTTTTCTGCCATCTGATTAGTTTTCAATGTCTGGGTGGCCCCGGTTTTCAGTAAACGCACTGTAATCGAAAAGCAATCATGATAAATTTAAACATCATTAAAAACTAAAAAAATATCTCAAAACATAGTTTTTAACTTTTCTTAGAATCGCGATATATCCTAGTCGATCACATCTCATTTAAATTTATGCATTAAAAGTTGGGTCACGATGGCCGAAGGACAATATGAAAATAATATTCGTGCACAAGCATGAGCTGCGCAACTCCTTGCAGGGTCTCAAATTCCGATTGTGCGTTGCTTTGACAGAAGACTGAGGAAAAAGACGCAAAACACTGAGCGAACGAGCAGTGGAGAGGTCAAAACTGGTCACTGTAAAGTATGGAGAACAAGATCTCTGAATTAGAGTTGAGAGTTGCTCAGCTGTAAAATGCTACGTTCTTGAGTACTATGAACAAGGGAAAAAGGGAAGACAGAAGCTGTCATTTTGTTGAAGGTATTGTTTTCCCGTGCGACCCTCTCACAGTGCTGTTTTTGTGCATTGGCATATGCGTGAACCCTGGGGGACTCCCATACAAAAAATGACGGCGACGCTCGTCGCACCTTTTAGGGGTTAAAAAAGTAGTTTTGGTATCTCTTAGGTTGTTCAGCTTCGAAAAGCCTCTAGCTTTTCGCGATACCTTTTAGGGTTTTGAGTCAGGTTTAGTTGACGTGTTGTTTTACAATTAGTACCTTTTTGGGGTGAACAAAATGTCAAGCCATTCGCACAAAACAGGAACCTGGTACCTCTTATGGATTTTCTCAAAATTTTCGACGAGCACCCCAGTCCTTTTTATGAGGGAGTCCGCCCATGACCGGCCTGTATCTCAAAATTAACATTACTCTCAAAAATTGACGAATTCAATACGCGAGTTCATAGAAACACCGGAATAACTTTGACTTTCACGTAGTTGCGGGATAATATCTCAACAGCCGCCATCTTGGATTCGTTATCTTGGATTGCTTGATTTTTCCAAAACGGCAGAAAATCAGCAAAATAAAAACTCAAAACTAATCAAAATCAGTAAGATTGCTTAAAAGTTTGAAAACCGTAGCTACCTGACTGAAAGTTTAATTTGGCTAATAAAAACGTCAAAATACGGTTGCCATATCGTGAACCCTGATACATTTCAGATAGAGGCGCAAAGCTCAGTGACAACCACCACACCCCAATTTCTAGCATTATAACACGAGTAACTCATAATCTAAATGAACTGAATTTTAAAGGAAGTAAAATCTGCACACGAGCCAAGTGACCCATCAAGCTGGCGCTTATCTCCGGTTTCTGTAGCGTGGAGTGACTAGAAGTATTTCTACTCCCTCCTGGATGGGATGCTAGTCCATAGCAGGGTTACCCCTAGTATTAATATCGCCAGTACCCATTTATACAACTGGGTGGAGAGAGGTACTGTGAGAGTTAAGTGTCTTGCCCAAGAACAAAACACAATGTCCCCGGCCAGGGCTCGAACCTTAAACGGTCGATCCGGAGGCCAGGGCACCAACCATGAGCCCATCGCGCACCAAGTTAAGAAATAAATCATTAATCGAAGGTTTTAGCGCAAACATCTGTAAAGTAAATAATGTCACACTCCCTTCATTCTTGATTGGTTCGCTTTGGGCGTGGATGCGGCATGCAAGTCAGTATGGACTCTTTTCTCCCGCCCTAATAGAAGGGTAGGTAATCGTATGAATGCAAGTGCAGTTAAGGATTTCCAACACAAGTGGTATTTAAAAATTCTCTCCAAATTCCATAAGATTTTGGGAAAGTGCAATTCAAAAAAAAATTCAACTACCAAGTTAACAAATAGATTCTAGGTTGCTGTCCGTCTGTTCAGTGATTGAATACAGATGACGTCAAAATGTGGTAAGAACATCCATGTCTGCTCCGCTACTGAATGAATGGAGGTGGGATGTAGTGGAATGCATTGGGACAAGGCACCAGTGGAGTGGCCCTGGAGCGAGGGCGATGACCCGATTGACAGATGGGTGCTTCGATGGTTGCTATAGAAACCGACGCCATACAGAGGCTTTTGTATAGTCACACAGGGAGATGAAAGACTGGGGGAATGAGCGTGAAGGTGGGAGCGACTAACAAACGGCTTTGCACAGCTTTGCAGAGAGCAAACTTCAAAACGTACGCGTCAGGATGACAATGGCGAAGGCAGATCCCTGCGTACGAGCGGGGCTGCGCCAGGCCGAGGTTTAGCGCTGCCCTTCCATATATTGACTTCTGTCAAAGTCAGAAAAAGTGGCATACGAGGCGATAACGATGGTGTGTTTCTGATGGAATCTCCTTGTTTTAAGCATTAAAGAATCCGTTAAATGTCAGTGACGTCATCTATGCGTCCTTCCTCCAATTGATCATAAGTGAAAAGCAGTCAAAATGTGACAATAATTCCTTTAACTGCTACAGCCTTTTATATGATTACTCATCTTTTAGATGCCTGATAAAATTACGAAACTGAGCGTGTTAATTATAGCACCGCAGAGCAAATTTATAATATATAACTAGTAGTAATCAAAGATTATAGCAGTGCGTTCACGCGCGTACTTTGCATGTTTGGTATACTTTTGTGGCGTTCGAATATGGCTCGATAGGAAACTAATTTTGATCGAATGTCAGATAACGATCTGCACGTAAAGTTGAGCTACCGATGAATAGATTATAGCCTGCGGTAAAAGTGTTTTTAATTAATTAAGTATTTACTTGTACTGGACAAAACATTTGGCAAGGCATTTGAACTGTTGTTGACACTTAGAATTCAATTTCAGATGGCCAACGCTTGCAACAAATATTCTTGAGAAAGTAAAGTTTTGACCAGCGACCCTGCAAGACAGCGCGTCGCCAGATGTTGTCAAATTTTGTGTTTGTAGTTGATTACATTGCTCGAATGAACATCTTGTCCACTTTTAAAAATGAAAAAGGTAAATTAACCACTCTGACCACAAAACAAGGCCTTTTGGCAAGTTACACAACACAAAAAGTTTGTTTTCTGACAACCAATTATGGGCACAACGAATTTGCCGAGCTGCAAATCGGAAAATTTATTTTCTCACCACAGATGGGAGGGTCACCATGACCATTTGCCGAGCTATACGGAAGATTTGTTTTGTTACCGCAGTTCATGGCCATTTGCCGTCGCCGAGCCACAAAACGTTCGTTTCTGATGACACAGGCTTTAGTTACATGTGTCGAAGACTAGTGGGCCAAAATGCATGCAGCTTTGCCGAAATCATACACAGAGAGTGTCGAATCTATACGGCGAAGAGTGACTGCGTGCATGCGCTCATGTACTTACGTAATTTGCCTCTGCTGTGGGGGGCCAAATCGGTGAACAAAAAATCTCGATTCAGACTGGATTAGGATTGCCTTACACTATGTGAACGCAATCAACGATAACGGAATAAGTCTGCTCTCAGCCGAACACAATGCAGTAATTTTCTCAGTCATATCATTATGTCCGTATTAACGGGATTATACCAATTTCAAAACAGGTATACGGTTTTTTAAAGTGGCTCCCTATAGTTTTACGATTGCACGTGCACAAAGAACGAAAGCTCAAGTAATCTGCGCGCGCTCAAAGGAAACCGTAAATGTTTTCCTATTTTTTTTAAGTCAACACGAGAAATGGCAAAAAGCAAAACTGGCAATGAATTTTCTCGCGTTTCCTTGGGTGAATTGTTTTTTTTCAATTTGCCTCAGTTGTAACCATATACAGTTCCTATAAAATACCCTATTTTTGTTAAAATCTGTCAGAGGTAATCCAATATATTTAGAAAAATGACAAATTACAGAATATTGGAAAAACAACATTGACTTTTTACCAATTCGAAGTGTCAGGCAATATTATTTCCATGATGTGGCGAATTACGCAAAAATTTCACCGAAGGAAAGTATAAATATTAAGGAGTTTAGGCCAAAATGAGGAATATATCTGCCTGTCATTAGATGAGATGCTGCCATGGCAACGGCCTTAATTCAAAAATAGGACAACCAAAACATAAGCCTTATTTTAACAGTACCCATACTGGTAAATCTCCACAGAGAAAACTTTAAGAGAAATTAACTAAGTTTCTTTTTCTAACTCGCGCTCTATAGGGAGGATGTTCGTACTTAAATACTCTAGGAAGCCACTTAAGTCTTTAAACTACAGACCCGATCACAGTAATTAATTACCTGGAGGACGAGATGTATTCACAAATATCCAAATTGTGTACATATGCACTGATACCATATTTGCTTCAACGTCCCTTCCAAGAGACTTTCCAGACGCTTTAATGTGAACTTTCACTCTAATCGTGCGCCCGTCGTCGTTCTCCTGAATTGCAGTCAACACTAATGAGCCTCTGGCAACTTGTAATCGGTTCCAAAAAACCTGCTCTCGGTTGACTTCAGATATTTTCTTGCAATCCTGGCAAGTGTTGCAGTGCGCAAACTTGCTTCCATTAATGCTATGCCACTCAGTATCGACTACACGTTCGCATGGTGCAATGCTCTGTAGGATCTTTGTTAAATTAAGATCACGGCGTTCATGAATACGCACACCTGAACGTGAGAGAGCAGAGATACAAAACTTATTAGTCATAGTGAAATCATCACTTATCACACTCCCCTCCCCTGCTATTCCGTTTCCTCTATCACAGTCACCTCCGTTGCCTTTCCTTTGCCTTTATCATAATACGCAGAAGTGTACGCGGATAAGCGCATCGTACGAGAGGACAGCATAACTTACATTTTGCGGTAAAGTTGATCTTGTAGACATGCGAAGTCAGGGAGTTGTCCGAGTAGAGAACTTGGCACATTGTCCGGGCATAACCGTTTGTGTTGTTCTTTGCTACTCTTTGTAGGCTCACAGAGCGATTAGAAACTTTCAGCACTTTGATTCCTTCTGGCAGCACTGGTCTCGTTACGATACAGTCCATGTCGTATTTGTTACAGTAGGCGAACTCGTTCCAACCAACGTTAGGAAATTTAATTTTCCACTGAACTTTATGGACTGCATTTACGTCAGTGATACCTTCACAAAATAAGGTTAGCAACCCATTGGAGCATGCTTGTCTTGATGTTGTCGTTGTTTCTACCGCTGTTGTTGGCGTTGGGGTTTTTTTGCCCGCTGAAAAGGAGTAACAAGTTAATGACAAATTTTAGAATTGAATGGTTATGGTAAGGTCAAGCCAAATTTTCACGAGAAACGTTGTAAATAATGTGAAGCTTTTGTGGTTGCTCTATATAATATTCGTTTCACTGACTACAGTAGTCATTCGTAAATTTTTTGGGTTTTTTTCAGCAAATAAATGTTGTTGTCGTTGTTACTGATGCTGATGCTGATATAACACTGATGTACATAACTTCGCGCTGTGAAGTTAAACGAGGTTGAAGGGTAGGTTACAATGATAGGTAAAAAACAAGTTACTTTCTTTGTGCGCCTTGATTATTTTACGTAATCTTTGTCTAGCTTCTGCTACAACCGCAGAGCTGTCACGTGCGCATGCGATTCGCACTGACTTCCCCAAAATTTGCTGTTGAGGCTCTAGTGATATTCAGCTTCGAGAGAAATCAGCCAGATTTTTCCACCGTGTAAAATATTATAGGCCAAGGAAAAAGTGCCCTAATATCTCCCAAACGTAAAGGCTAGAGCGAGTGGATTCACTTGATCTAGGAATGGACGCCATTTTAAAGAATTTTTTCATCCCTATCCAATCATAGATGTAACTTGAGAAGTTTGCTCCGCCTCGAGTAACTCTAAGAGTATAGTCATACAGTAGAACTTCCGGTTGCGACCACCTCTCTTAAGTGAGAGGTAAGAGAGTGAATCCCCCATAAAGGCCTTATACCCAAAGTAATCCCTCTTAAGTTGGTACCCAGTTCTTCCGAAGATGCTACTCACGCGATGCGTGGACAGCCCAAGCAACTTTCTCGCAACAACAACAACAATATTTATTTATGCCAACAAAAAAAAGAACAGGACAGACGAATACAAGTTGAAACTTATAAATAAGGTATTAACTGCCTATAACAACCATACAACTAAAAAATTAAGCAGCTATTTATAGGATACAGCTACCTGAGAGGACTGGCGGGAAAAGCCATTTTATATGTTTTTTTATTTTCTTACGCGGTTACGACGTTATATACCACATATATTTTCAATACTCTCTACAGCTCTGCAGTCTTTTTGTTCGGCCTGGCTTTGTTCACTTTGTGCTCCTTTGGCTGTTCATTCTTTCGCCATTTACCGTAAATTCTCGAATTAGCGCCTGGGGCGCTTATTTCAAATTTAGGAGAAGACGGGGGGACGCTTATTCGACGGGGGGCGCTTATTCGAGGGGGAGAGGCGCTTATTTAATTTTTCCAAATCGTGACCTGACATGATCATTTTTTTAATAACTCATCTGGGCGTAAACAACAACATAAGATGTTTATCGACATAAAAAGCTGATCCTAAACTGTAAATCGCGGCACTGTTAGTACTTGTAATGTTTTCCAAAGTTAACGGGTTCACAAACTGAAAAAATGCACAAATCTAATACTACACGAAGAAAACTATACATCCTTCGTTGTCTCCCACAACATGGGGAAAGGGGAGAGGGCGGATATTCGAGGTGGAGGGCGCTTATTTTAAATTTTGGCCGATAGGAGGGGCGCCTATTCGAAGGGGGCCCTTATTCGAGGGGGGCAGGCGCTAGTTCGAGGATTTACGGTATTCGGTTTAAGAAAGTTCGAGCAAACCACAACGGCAACTGAAACGCGTACAATAGCTGTGTACGCGTACGTTATAACTCTTTCTTCATTTCTTTGCCGTTCTTTACAAAACAACAACATGGAATGACCACATTCTGCGTATTCTAGAGAACGTAAACTACGACGGCAAATGTTACTTAAATTCCCTCTTTTGTTTTGTTTGGGAAGAGGGCTTTCGACCGTCTTTTTTTGGTTGCATTGTGTTTGGGCATTCGTTTCCTTTGCACTCGTTTGGCCGCTCATTTGGCTGCTCGTTTGGTTGCTCATTTGTCTGCAGATCACTCAGTTTTTTATTACTTGAGCAGAGGACATCTGTCTCTTAGTTAAACTGCAGTGGAGGCGGCAGCGGCGGCGGTAATGGTAGTGGTAGTGGTAGTCATAGTGGAAGTGGAAATGGAAGTTGTAATGGTGGTGACAGTAGCAGTGGCAGTGGTATTGGTAGTGGTAGTGGCAGAGGCAGTGGTAGTGGTAGTGGCAGTGGCAGTG